TTTTTAATCTTAATTGCCAAACAAAATAATTCGAGCTTGGCACAGCTACACAGAGCCTAATAATTCCAATATTTCAGTTCCAAAAATATCTACAATCGAATTAGAGTGCGCAAAAGTCCGCGGATAGTCATAATCTTTATCCAATAATGAGAACCGAATTTCTATCTTGCAATGAAGTGATGATACTCCTTGGAAACCCAGAACAGTAACTCGTCTTTTTGCCTTGTAATAGGGGAGGGATTTCGTTTAGGTTTTTTCGTCTTTGAATGTGATAAGTCACTGTCAGATAGTATTAGTCTGAGAACAAAGGGGAAAAACTAACAAAAAGTTATAAAAAAAGACTACGAAGAACAGTTCGCGATTCATATGAGCACAGCGCACTAATGAAGTAATACGTTACAAAATTTATGACAAACTTATAGCAGTGAGGACGTTGATCTCGAGTCAGAGAGACTTATTTTATAGGTCTCAATCTAATCTTTGGGTTAACTGCATGCAGGAGATACTTTGCTGTGAAATTCATAAATTCTGTGATATTCAGGCCAACTGTTACAACCTATGCAAACTCCGATTATATGAGATTAAATGACACTCTCACTCAGAAAATCAGAAAAAGAACATGATTGCAATGCTTACCGTAAGCTTTGGCCTACTCGGATCGGGCGACGCTAGACCCACTCCGAGATGTGGTGAAGTCTCTTCAGCGCTCACAATTCCATCCGAGAAAGCTCGTTGAATGTGCACTGGAAGTGACAGTCCTGCAAATATTATTATTACTCTTCCACCCAGTGAAATTGAGTTTATAGATTCAAAGACACAGATACAAAAGCAACGATTAAATTTGTATCCAAAAGGTAGGTAGAACTTGTCAAAAATCTCTTTTCACTATTCAAATTTTGATCATATGACAAAAATGGGGTCTTCTGCGGACTATCTATAGAAAACTGGAAATACTATGAAGCATAAAGCCGTTGTTCATACCTCCAAAAGGTTCGGCTCCTTGAGGACTTGCCAGTGGAGTGCGACCCGGTGAACCGTAACCGGATGATGATCCACAGTCATCAGATGGGATCAGCTGTGCCGACGATGAGATCCACTGTCGTGCCTGCAACATTTAGATTTTGAGATTTTGCATAAGATTTCAGACGAAAACTTTAGCTTGTTTTCAGCTTAGTCGTTCCTAGATATGAGAGACGATAGCCAAAGTTTCAGTTTGATTCTTTTTCTTTCATCTCAGCAAATGTGCAAAAGTTCAAGCGCTCAGTGTTTTTAGGTAACAGATCAATAGTTAATAGATCTGGTTACTGGCGAACTGTTCTGCTTTTCGTCAACCAATGGCCAAAGTAAGAAATT